TGGTAAGTCACCGCCGGTATGTTAGTCGTTGGTCACCGCATATTATTTTTGGGGAATTGTTCTGCGTGTCCATATATTTGAGCATTGCTCTCTTGTTTGATTTATTCTTGTGTATAACGACTTCTATAATCTGTTTATACCCCAAATTATTTTGGAAGTTAGGTATAAGGGGCAGCATTATCAGAAACTCGCCCCGGGCAGCAGACTAGTTTGGCACGCCCCTGCCTACAACCCCTATTTGCTAATTTTGGGACCGCCAAGTAAAGGTGAGAATAAATCCCCCTGGGTTATTATTATGAATATTACATTTTCCTTGATTCAAAAGTTGAAAAAAAAATCTAAATCTTGCTTGGAGACTGGTTTTGGTCTGGCAATTCTGACAACGTGTGTTCGTGTATTCTCGGATGCCAATACTGTTTGCGCATTATACTTCAATTTCGTTCATAACCAACATTTAAATGGACGATTTACAATTAATTTGCTAATATTATGAACGACGTCAGGCGCGGCTCCGAAGTTACAACTCTCGATTAGTAATCTAAATATCTTGGCTGTGGTTACATTGCAAGTTCCCGCATCTGTGAGTTGATTAAATTTTGCAAGTGGGGCCCAGTTATTCATTATATTATTTTCAAAAAATATAATAGGTTGCTTCGCTTTCTTTCAAGAACTCCTAGCATATGGAGCTCCATTATTCTGGGCATTTTTCCTTATAGACTGGTTTCGAGATTGTTAGTTTTTGAACGTTTCCCCGACCTTCGATTTGAAAAAATTCTACCAGAACTTCACTATAGCAAAAGTTTTTATACTTATTTTGAGAGGGTTATGAGGAGTGGACGTTTACAAACTGGTTTGCATGTTCAAACCCATAATTTTTACTAAAATATTAAGTAACATGTACTGATTGGTTATCTTAGTCTTGTATATCGCAGCCTTTTCTGAACTAATTTCTGATTATTGCAACTAAACCAAAGCTTTTGGGAAGACATATTGACAATTAAGCTATTTGAATTACGACTAATTTTGGAAAACGAGCCAATGATTACAGCCATGCTTGAATATCATCTGTCTGAGCGAAAGAAGTCTCTGAACACAGCTTGCCATTGTATTGTCATCGTTGACTCATTGCTGATTGGTCATGGTTACGGAAATAAACAAGGAAATCGATGACCGGGGAAACATCCATTATGCTTTCTCTACCACCAAAGAGCATATATCTGGTACAATACAAAAATAGCCATGCTATTCCAATAGCCGAACTGAACTGATAACTGGATGAGATGTATGGTTTAGTACCGGTATAACATAGTTTAAGCCGTAATTGGCTTTCTATTAGGACAGTGGTTCTCAGCCTTTTACTGACCGCGTACCACCATGGTTATCTGATTATAGTTCGCCCACGGCGCTTTCGCTACGCATGAGCGATGCGTTACTACGTCATCAGTTTGCTATCTACTGAATTGTATGGTAGAAGATTTCCTTTCAAATTTATTTGCGTATTTGGAATGGTTTTATTGATGGAAATAACTGAAGATATATACTGAGGCATTAGGATAAGGTAGGGGGTATTCAGTTAACCATGGTACCACTCTACTTTACTGTTTTTACTCTGGCCGCGTACCACCGAACGAACGTGAAATGACACAAGACACGCGCTTTGGGAGTGTTTTATAATGTGGCACTATATCCTTCGTAACCCAATTCGCAAGACGGACGAAAACATGCCCCTATCGATTCGTGGAAAATAGCAGGCGAGGGCGATCTGTAAAGACTGGACTGGTCCATAGGACGTTTCTCCGACCTCTGACTCCAGAATAACTCTTCCTATACTGTACTATTGCAAAAAAAAATTATACTTACTTTGAGAGTGTTTTGTTGTGCTGGCGCTTATAAGCTGGTTTACGTTTTTGAAACCCTCATTTTTATTAAAATTAATCAACCATGTGTCGCTTACAGGCACTGATAGTTTAGACTAGTCTATCGCAGCATTTGCGAGACTCATTTTTGATTACACCCCTTAATTAATGCTCCTTTGAAGACACAATAACAATTAGGATATTTCATTCACAACTATTTTATTGAAACACAACTGAAAACTGACAAATAACAACCAAAACTACAAAAACGAGGCAATGTTTACTGATTATTGCTGGATACGGAAATAAACAAGGAAATTGATACCCGGGGAAACATTCATAAAGGCCGTTCAGCGAATACATACAGTGTGGAAGATAAAGCGTTGTCGGCATATTTTGGCCAATTTAAAAGATAATTGTTGCAATAATTCAAAGCTACACGCGTACCACTTGATCATCTTCACTAGTGGTACGCGTACCACAGGTTGAGAACCACTGTATTAGGAAGTTAAAGAAATACTTTTTTTATGCTTTTCAATCCTGTTAACTGATTTGGTAACCAATTTGGCAATCCTTGCTTGGTGTAAAAAAAATTGTACTTTTCTTCAATTTCATTTTGTTTGTATATTTTTTAAGTAATATATCTTATGTTTCTTCTACTTTTCTCTTTTCTAAAATTATTGTGTCTGCGTTATTGTATGTATGCGTGTTTTAATTACCTCAATCCTTTCGGATGAGCGAACAAATACCACTTCTTTCGACAACACCTTTCAATCTAACATCTGTACGTTTTATAAGTAAAAGTTTATTTCAACTCCATATTCAGTACAATAGACGATAAAGTAAGTGATAAAAACGAAACTTAAAACTAATTACAGATTCGGAAGAGCAAACAAAACCTCAGATTCAGATATTTTATTTCGTCATGCAAGAATCAATAAAAAGAAAAACATAGTAAACTAAAAAACAGCGAGAAACATTGATTCATATCAATTGACGCGGGGTCGCGAAATCTCAATGAGTCATCTGGTCAGCGACACCTTGTTACTTATCAATCTCTATCGGTAAGTATATTGATAGGTGTTGTCTGTTTGACACTTTCGTATGTTAGGCGATATCTCACGAAAGCGAGGTTTTAAACGTACAGATTTTGGATGGAAAGGTATTGATAAAAGAAGTAGTACGTGTTCGCTCACCCAAAAGTAATAAAACTAATTAGAGCACGCACACACACACACAATCACCGAGGTATGATAAGATTGGGAGAGAAACAAGAGAGCTATGCTCAAATATATGGACACGTAGCCACCCAATGGCAATAATTTTGATGACGTCATAGCGAAAAAAAAAGTAATAGCCTTCTGTAGAAAAATTTTATCTTCAACCACTGAAAATTTCAAAGCAATTGGTCCAGTATTCGAAGAGAAAAGCGACTTTTTAAAAACGTGTCAAAGAACAACAACAACAACATAATATTGAAACGATCGTTATGCCCCCTACGTGTCCAAAAAGTAAGACACAAAATCCATTACTCAGTAAAAAAAAATATTTACAAACAAATAAAAAAAAAATGAAAAACCAATTTTTTACCACCCGATATTAATAATTTTATGAGTATTGCCAAATTGGATACCGAACAGGTATTCAGGTATTATATACTGTGGATGGAAAAAAATTCCTCAAGGGATATCGTTAATGTGATTGCGGGTGGAATCACCTAATGCCAAATTGCCCAATCAGAATTGCCAAGTTAGATGCATGAAGAGTTTGGCTAGACCCGCTTCACTCACCAAATAGAAGCCAAACATAGCCAAATTAACGTCCAAATTATTTCAAGTAGTATTGATCAATTAAATTACCGGTAATTAAATTTAATTAAGGATATAGAGGTAGAAAATCGGTTACAAAAATATATAGGTTATTAACGGTTCAAGTGAGGTTTTTCAGGGGAGCTATATTCGAACTATATTCCAACCATACTCAGCTTGGCGAAATATTTATTTTGTCTTCATATTAAATAATGTTCACTCTTGTTTACATCTGTATTCAATTTGGGAACTTTTATACAATTATTAAAATGGTGTGGCGGACAATTCTTATTTTTATTACAATTCCTAATTTTTATTCTAATTTCTTTTTCACGTATTTCTCTTTTTGTTTACTATATGGTTTATCTAAAGCTTCCCTCCTTTTTCATATTTATTATAGCCCTGTGTGTATGTGTGCATTGATTCAAGAATTTTAGGTGAGTGAACACATACCACCACTTTTTGCAAAAACCTTTCATCTTATATTCTGTACGTTTTTTTTACCTTACCTAAGGTTTTGTTTGCTCTCTTGATTTCATAATCAGTTTTTATTTATTTGTTTTGATCAATCATTTTATCGCCTTTTATGCTGGTCATGGAGTCGAAATAAACACATCTTACTATGCAATATTTTTTATACTAACTATTATTCGTGGGGTGGCACTATTGTTCCACAAAAATATGAACGAGCGCCGCAACCGGAACCCACGTGATCACAATGCAAACAAATGGCAGAAGAAAAACACTTCACTGCGGCGGCTCGTCGCTCTCGTCTGCTTTTGTGCTTTGCTCGTTTGATTTCAGTTGTAAAGTCAGTTCTGTAGACTAACAAGAGAATGGCGCTTGGGAGCGGATTCAGTAAGTTTAAATGTTGTAGATAGTGTTACGTGCATTGCTTTAGTTCAGAATTGCATTCATAAATTTGAACGAAAGGTCTTGCAGCCATGCCGCTTAAAGGCTTGAGGCTACACGGCCGAATTAGACCAGATTTCCGGTCCTGCCGGTAGGCAGTTTGGGTTGCTGGGCTGAATATGCAACGGCTAAACAGATATATTTAATACAGAGCGTTGCTGTTTCAAGTAAATATTGAAATATACTACCGGTACTGACTATTTTCAATAAATATTATTTAGTTTATTTAGTCTTGTGTTGTTAAGTAGGATTAGTGACATGTCAGAACATTCATAGTCAATCAAGAGGATACTAATGCTGTCTGGTTCAATAATTAATTTTTACTTAATGATTTCAGTTTAATAGAAAGTAAATACTAATGCCAGAAAGCTGTCTGGTTCTAGTTCAATAATTCACATAATAATTTTTATTTCATGATTTCAGGATATATAGGAAGTATACTTTCAGTTTTTAGAGCATTGAATGCTTTGTGCATGGATATGCATAAAAATCTCCCTTATAATACTGGAATATAAGTTTGTGCAACTGTCTACTTACAGACTTAAGGACATTTACGCTGGTAAACAGGAGCTGTTTTACCATGATTTTCACAACATAAATTTGTGGAATTTTCAAGTCTGTCGTCACAAATTATAATCATGAGACTATTTTGTATCAAACTTTCAAGATGGAAGGTCGGGGACTTATTCTTCTTGTTGTATTGTCTGTTTTTCATGGCAAACATTGTCGCTTCAAACTCTGAAACAGGACTTGATGAAAACTCATGCCCGTTAGATTGTACTTGTCTTAAATCAATTGGATCTGTGAATTGCACTGGAAATATTTGAGGATAATTCCTGCAGGGATTCCATCATGGGTAACACATCTGTAAGTATACTTTAGCTTTTCATTTATTGAAAATAATATTAGCAGAGCTATCTTGATCTGGATAAAGTGCTACGATTTTGGGAGTATACTTTCTTACACTCATTCTCTGACTAATTTTTCTTTGATGTTTTTTATATTATTTCAAGAGAAGTTAGATGTTGGGGCAATAATATGAATTTAATATAACTTGGCACATAAAGCATACTTTAGTCTAAAATCCAATTTTGTTGGTCTGAATTTTCCAAATATGTTCTTTAAAATGACCTAAATATTCTATAACATTTTTCGACTTCGAATGGAAGTTTTTTTCATCTTATATTTTCAGTATTGGCCAATACAGGAAGTTGTAAAGATGTTAATTAATTGCTCACATTCTGGGTATATGTGTTAGATTTTTGGGTTGTTTCAACACCTCAATCAAGACCCTGAACGAGCGGCCACTGATATGTATGAGGCTACTTTATTTTTTTAAAAGAGTGTAATCTTTTTTTTTTTCCAATAACTCATACTCATGGTACCTGAGCTCGCTTCTCGCAGTCTTATTAACAATTTTTTTTATTTGCACCAATTTTCAACTCCAGGCTGGTGTCCTGTGGTTCTTTCATGTCTAGAAAGTTTAATTTTTTTTTATATTTTAATGTAAAGTTAATCATTTTTTGATAAAGTAATATTTTAAAAATTTTTTAGTAATATTTCCCGAAAACTTAGCGAGAAAACTTGCTTATTATACCATGTCTTTACCCCGAACAAAGCTGTAGTAAAGTTGGTATGCTTGGAGTTACTTTGTTATCCAATTTGTTTCACCCTTCGGTGAGGTTTCGGTCCTAAAATGGCACTTTTGACTTATTACAAGAACATAGATGGACACCAACCACCTGATAATCTCACCCATACTTATTGATATTCAATAATTGGAGAGATTTATAGTTTGGCATAGCTCTTGCTGCACTCTTTGGTGAGGTGGCATGGGGTTTGAAGTCTCATAGTCTGACATCAACCACAGGGCTTTTTCACCCACAGTCCCGAAAAAATTCAATTAATTCCTTGTGACACTGTGTTTCCTACACCCTTGGGTGTTAGGTGGTGGGAATGGGGTTTGCAAAGGGACGGGCCCTTGATGCTCTCATGGTCTGACATTACCCATAGAGCCTTTTCACTCACAGTTTTAGAAATTCTTTCATTTTTTGTGACATTAACTTCCTGTAGCCAGCAAATTATTCAGGCACTTCATGAATTATAAATTACTATTTTGTCTACTGTTTAACCTTCTTTTAAATATTTAATGGTAAAGTAGCATTTTTGTGGATTAGAGCAGACATTGCTGATTTGTTATGTATATGTTTTACATCAACTTGTTTACACCAGGGATTACTGAGGCTGGGTTTATCCAAAACAATTTTAGTCGATGAGGGATTTGACATTTTAAATTCTTGATTGTATGGATCATTTGAAACGGTCTAATTTCGAAAATTCAGTGTTTCAGTGTAGCGGTTTCAAACTGGGGGCTTGTAGACCAACAAGGAGACCACAGGAGCAGTTGGAGCCCACTATGCTAGGCGCAAAACTGATTTCACTTTCCTTGACAAGAAAGCTCCCAGTTCTTCCTAGTTTCATTGCTTGATAAGGTTATTTCACGGGGTGTTTCACTTTGTTGAGCATGAATTGTTTGAACATAATGGGATTTGGAATCTATCAATCAAAATATCACTCTTAATACCACTGAAATGATAAACATCGGGCCCCATGAGTGTCTAAAGCTTCTGGAAAGGGTGGGGACATGCCTTAAAATGTTAGAAACCACTGTTTTAATAAACTAAGCTCACTCAAAAATAAAATTCTGTACTTTTATTTTTAGATATCTTCGAAACAATTTACTTTCTGCCCACAGTCTACACAGATTCAATTTCAGCATATTTCCTCAATTACAAGAACTGTAAGTACCTCAGAGTTATATCTATAATACCTTGTGATTAGATTGGCTAGGGTAGAACGAATATATAACTTCGGCGCTCCAGAAGTGTGTGTACCAATATGGAGGTAACTAATTTTGTTTGCCTACTTTACATCAAGTTGTGTAAAGGGACTGAAACCTATGAGCAGGAGGTATATTCACTTGGCTAACACAGACAGTCCCGAACTCGTAATAGAACTAAATAAGGAAAATCGGAATGAAATTATGGCCTAACCCTAACCTGGTACAAACATGGGAGTACCATAACTTCAAGAAAGTAGTAAGAGCTAATTTAGTCATGAAATTGATTGCAACATTTGATCGAATGTAAAAGGATTACTTTGAATGTCACTAATCTGTTGTAATCTGTCATTTATTGAATTTTTGCATTTTGTTCATGCCAGATATGGTCGTAACCTAATAATTTAGTATTCCGAAAACATTCCAAAAAAATCTTTTCGAATATGAAATATCGAATATAGTCTGATATGGGTCTGTTTTCACTAGAAAAATCAAAATTTGTCATGCAGAATAATTGAGATAAACATTGTTTTAATTAATATTCTCTATTTTACTCTTAACAAATCTTATTGTTTTGTGTTTGCAAGAATTTCTGAATCAAATATAACCAATTTTGAATATTTTATTTGTTTGTACATCCCTGAACATTAGATATTTTTTTCAATTTTATGGAAACCTAGCTGAATTGGAAAATAAAGTTGAAAGTTGAATAGCCTAGTTGTGTTTTGTTTGGGTGAAAATTTTGCTTATATTAAGACTCTACTCATTAATATCATTTTCATTATTTCCCACGCACGGAAAGTTACGATTTATAAATGAATTTTTTATAAATTCACAAGTTTAGGACTGTTTTTAGGTGGTCTGCTTATGTGAGATTGGCTTACATGAAAAGATATTCATGTTATTGTGTAGCAAGACTTTTGAATCACTTCATAATAATATTTTCATAGCAAATAATGGCTAATTTCAGTCCCAAACAGTTATTAAATTTTCTAAATTTTAACTCTAATAGGATATGCCCCAAATATCATTAATTACAAATTTTTTGAACTATTCTTTGGGCATCCCTATGCACTCTGTAGACTTAACATGTGTATCTTATGTCTTATTTGTCTCAGAAGATTAAAAACCCCTGGGAATTAGTTATAAATACATATTCAATGTGGTGTCTTCTGGCACACTTTGATGACGGCATATTCTATCATCTGCTTAATATGTAATTAACTGCCTTTAGAGTTGAAAGATTTTGAGGTTTCGAGCCGGGAACAGTCAAAATATTATTGAATAATATAGCTTGTCTATAAAGTCTTGACATTTTTTAAAATTGCAAGAGAAATTTATTGATACCATTGGAATATATCGAGACTATATCATATTGTTTTGGCCCTCACAGATGTATCGAATGAAGTATAAATACTTGAACAATTACTGATTAAAAAACAACAAATCTGGTTATTGAGATATATTGAGAACTGACTTGATAACAAAATTAAAATTGTAAAGGGACTTTATGGACACTCTGTATTCTTTATTATGAAATATTCAAAACTTTCTAAATTGGGTCATGTCCAGTGGCAAAATTTGTCAACTGATCGATAAATATTTGCAGAAAATAATTTTGGTAATGCAACAAAGTTGAAAAAACATTGTCGTTCGGATTAATTAAGTTTTTATAATCACAGAAGTTAAGCTAAATCTATATTTTTGTATTTAATTATTATTTCTAGGTTACTACGGTAATTTCGAACGCATTTGAATGATCTATTCCTTTTAGGCAGTTGGCCTCATTTATGGACATATCGTTATTGGATAAATCCTGAAATTATACAGGGTGTTCATAAAGTCATAAATTATGTAAAAAAACTTTGATGTTCTTCATGCAACTGACTTTGGGCATTTAAAGATGTATTAATGAAGTGAAAAAACTTGACACTGGTTAAAATAAAACAAGCCTGGTTAAGATAATATTGAGAACTGGCTTCATAACAAAATATTGAAATTGTTATGGTACGGGACTCTATGATCACCCTGTTGAGAGATGACTTGGTAACAAAAAATGAAATTGTGAGATGACCATATAAACACTTTACTTACTATATCAAATATAACTTACCTAAAATGCATTTAAATATTCTATTCATTTTGAACTCCTCTAGTTTCTATTATATACATTATGAAAGGGTATTTTTCTCTCAGGTCTGCATTATATTTACTTGTGCACTTCTTTACGCTTGCTCGAACATGTTTTGACCTCGTTCTTTGTCAAAATTCGACATCTGCCAAGTGGTGTTGTCACCTTGCGTTAACGTTTGTGTACATATAAACTTACTTCATCCTTTCGCACCTTTTTATTAAAAAAATGATAAATGACTTTCAAAAATAGATGAGTTTTATCGAAAAATTCCAGAATTGAGAGATTTATTCTCAGTTTGGGTCTTTCAAAAATTGTTTTTTGACACCTGGAAATAATTAATGGCAAATAAATTATACTTGACTATGTTACTTACTTTTAATGGTTATGTTAGATTTATGTTCTGAAAATTGTATGTCAAATTAACTTTTGAAGACGAATAAAAATGCATCCTTAGTTAATAGTTTAAAGTACGCCCTATGTAGCGTATTCAGAAAGTCTTGAAATTTTTTAAACTGCTTCATTGGTGAAAAACTCAAATAAACACTAAATAAAAATTAAAATAAAAAAACCTAATAAAACCTGGCTAAGATATATTGAGAACTGACTTCATAAAAATTTTGAAATCGTGACAGGACTTTATGAATACTCTGTATATCTTAATCAAGCAATTGAATTAAATACATGCTTACTAGACAAGAAACATTTTTTGTGGTTTACGTTATTATTCCATGTTGATAGAGATTATGATAAAAAGGTCTATTAATCCCCAAAACAAGCAAAACTCTCTTATTTTCACATATAGTTAACGTTACCATAAACCAAATGTTTATACGCTAGACAGCAGAAGTATTGTTTAGAGTTACTTAATCATAATTATAAATTATTTACGCTTGGTTGCAAACCTTGAGTTTTGGTTACGTTAAAAATTTATGGAATGCATCTTGTTAGGAGATTGTACATTTTTTTTTTGTTTCACATGACCAAATTTGATAGTATTTTTTTAATATTTCCAAGGCTTCATTCTGAGCCATTTAATATTCAAACTACTTAATGGACTAAAGGGGTCAGGGGAAGCACGCCGGACAAATTTCCGGACTGTTTTTCTCACGTTTTTGCACAAAATATCCTAAAATATTCTTTTTTCTTTTTTACTACTGTATCAATAAAATTCAACCTTGCCAACCACAATTTACATTTTCTCACAGTCCTTGTTCTCTTATATCTACCGCACAGCGTGTTGATAATTATGTAAAACAGAGATATGGGGTTTGAGCAGTGGCCTCAGTTATATTTTCACACTCCTCAAACTTTAAACAGTGAAAGTAACGTTCTTCGTCGCAAATCAAAATATATTAGGATAATGGCATTACCGTACTTCTGAATGGGGGGGGGGGGGGCTTTCCGTAACATAGAAATAACAGCTCTTTTGATCTAGCCCCTTACAAACTGGGGTCGTCACGATTTCGATAGAATACGTTGGATCCGAGAAGCGGTAGCTTGTTTAACTATGTCGACTTAACAAAAGTCGCGAATTTTTTTTTATATTAGTACCCCTGATCTAGCTTGCATTGTGTCTAGTAGAGATCGCTTGTACCAGCTTTCTTTTTTTATTTGGGGGGGATGCGCAGCTCTCGTGCAAATCTTTAAAATGGTCCGTATCACTGAAAAGGTTGGGAGCCATTGTACCAGGCCATCCTTGCTCACAAGTTGATCTTCTGCGCACCATAAGTGTGTGTACCAATGTGAAGGTACCGGTAACTCATTTTGTTCGCCTATTTTACATCAAGTTGTGTGAAGGGATGGAAACCTATGGGCAGGGGTATATTCACTTGGCTAACACAGACAGTCCCTAAACTCGTATTAGAACTAAAATAAGGAAAATCAGAATAAAATTATGGCCTAACCCTAATCTGGTACACACACTATGGGAGTACCATTCTGGGAACATGAATTCCTATGTTATGTTATATTATTAATAATGTTCAAATTCAAAATATTAGGTGCGGTGTGTATTAGAAGTAAAACATTGGGAGTAATTGGTTTTCCATGTTATTTACTTGTTAACAAACTGATCAGGTAGTGTTCCCATAACTATTTTTGAAATAACGATATAACAGTGTTCACATTTGGTATTTTTGAGATAGCTCACAAGTTGATATTATAAATGTTTTTTTGAAAATTTGAATGAATTACTACTTGATTCACTGGTAGAGATACGTCTGCACATCTTCACACATTATTTGTCATATAATATAACTAAATAATGATTTCTGAAGGGATTAAAATATGACTTATGTGTTTTTCGTTAAACATAACCCTATTTATAATAGGCTACATAGATATTCCAAATTAGAAAATATCTCGTTTCAAACTTTTCGAACTAAATCTTTTCAACTTCTATAGTCTCGAAGTCAATGAATCACAAAAATTTCATTTCCTGTGTCTTGGTTGAATGAAAGTTTGAGTAAATAAAACTTTAGGAAGGGTGTTTGCTTCACCGGTCACTTGCAAAACAGTTCCATCAATGTCTGACTACAACTCAATGTGCTTTAGGAAGGGAAATCAAATTTTAAATTTAAGAATTATTATTCAAAAGTTTTTTTAATATTATGGTAGTTACTGTATATACCGTATGTGGTTATCTGAATTCTGAGCTTGCTATCCTTACAGATGCTATATTAATATCATTAATGTGAATTTGACTTGAAATTAGAATTTTGAAAGGTTACCAATTCAGAAATTTAAGTCGCAATATGATCTAAAAACTTTCATTGAATTTATGAAAACTGGAAATTTTCAAATCAAAATTGAATAACTTTCTATCCAA